TTTTTTTTTTTCCTTCTTCTATTTGTATGTGATTAAGTAAATATTGTCATCTTTGTACTCTTTATGTGGAGACTGATATTACTTTTTCTCGGTCTCTCAGAGTGTTTTCATTCGTGAAAGTTCTTTTAACATCCAAAGATGGTTTTGCAGAAAATTATGTTCACAGTTATCTATATGGGCTTTTGTATATCCAGGTGCATCCATGTGGGCAGTATCGGAAGAACACGGTTGTTGGTATACTTCAAGCGGAGCATGACTTGGCTCCATTATTTCGTATCCTACTTTTACCCGGCTAGACTAGTAACTATTCCATCCATCCCACAAGCATAGGTTTGATTGCCTTTTTCTTTTTTTGTCCCACTAAAATACGCCAATTCCTTGACTAGAGAAGTTAAAATACTTAAGTCACTTTGATGCCTTTTCTTAATCTTTGCATAATTATGTACAAAATATAATCAGAAAAATGTATTAATTGTATCTTAAAGTGTATATTAGGAAAACACACTCCTAAATATTATTTCTTAACCTGTGAAAACAAGTACACAATCCCATTTTTTGTCGGTTGGAAGGAGTAACAAAACAATATTATTTGATTCCGTTCCTCATTATCAAATGCTCAATTTTTTATTCTTACACCTTAAGTCTTGCCAATGTACCATGTGTATGTGTGTGATATCCTTGACATAGTATTATCAGCAATTCATCGGTTGGACCGTTTGGTCTCTGGGCTTCTTATCATTGCCAGAAGTGCTTCAAAGGCTGACATTTTCAGGCAACAGGCAAGCATACTCGTCTTTTTGAGTTGCTGCTAAATGATTAAAGTCCAGTTCAGGGAAATTAGTAGATGAATATTTTTCATTCTTTTAAAATTATTTGGTGAGTGTCTATAATAATCTATAATCTATATTTTTCATTCTTTTTCATTCTTTTTAAAATTATTTGGTGAGAGAGAGAGAGAGAGAGAGAGAGAGAGAGAGAGAGAGAGAGAGAGAGAGAGAGAGAGAGAGAGAGAGAGATAACTTTTCTGAAGCCTATCCTGTCGTTTTCATTTCTTTTCTTATTGACAGATTGAATCAGGAGAGGTGAAGAAACAGTATATTGCAAGGGTAATTGGAGAATTTCCTGACAATGAGGTAATTTATTCTGTCTTTGTGTAATATGTGTTGTTGCTTTCTTGTTACAATTACTTTGAAAGTCTATCCTTGTTGTTTCTTTAAATTCACTTGCAGCAAATAGCTAATGCGAACGTCAACTACAATGCCCGTGAAGGAAAGAGCACGGCAGAGGTGGAATTCTATTCCTCATTTCTCTTTTGTGGTTTAGCAGTCCACTTTAAGTAGCCGAATATAGACACTTATATAATGTAGGTTCCGCAGAAGTTTACAACAGTATGGGGCATAAATTTATAGTGCTGTGCCTGCTTGACTATCCAGTGAACCCTTCTTATCTCTCCTTGGTAATGAAACTCAGTTTGCAGATTAAAGAACAATCAGACCCTTGATGACCTGCAAAATGCTAAGCCCAGATTTCACTTTTGTCAGCTGTGATCTTCATTGACCCAACACTTGTATTCGTTGCAGTGTAAAATGATGTACAATACATTAGACAAATAAGTGCTCTTCCATTACCAAGTGGATTGCAATGGTGAAAACATACGTCCAATAGGCTACATGAACAAAAGCTTTTTTTTCTGGAATAAAAATATTACTGGAAAACTGCATCTGCAGAGGTCATTTATATTTGATATAGTAAGCTGCTTTCCAGAACCCAACAATATTTTATCTCAAGTGAATTGTCACAGAAGTTCTATAGCTTCCTTATTATATAATTCCTTTGGCTCTCATCATCTATTATCAAATTGAGGTTCTGGCCGTATTATGATACTGAGACTTCTGCAGGTCGATGATGGTTTTAACGGGAACAATGCTTCTAAGGGCAAGGTTGCTTGTACAAAATTCACCAGAATAAGCACTAATGGAACAGAAAGCATCGTTTTGTGTGAGCCAATTACTGGCAGGACGCATCAGGTAATACGATATAGAGACATTGCCTTTGTATTGTTCTGTTTACAAGATGTTCTCATGAATACAACCGTTGTATGCCTGCAGAAACATTAGCTTGAGATAATTTAGGACAGTACTTCTCCAAAACCTGTTATCTTATTTAACTAAAAATCTGAAATCTCCATGAGTCTATCCGAGTCTGTCTGTAAATATATATATATATATATATATATATATATATACGCTTTTTTCATATTACGGCTTTTCTCCAAAGACTCCTTTACACCATGGCCGACACTAGCTATTACTTACGATGTCTTGTAATGTGGATATTCTTTGTTGTTGAAAATTTTGAAACAGAAATTGCCGCCTTTTTTTTCCCCAGATACGTGTGCATTTGCAGTTTTTGGGGCATCCTATAGCTAATGACATGCTTTACCTGTCTGAATGTGTTCCTCTACGTTCGACCGAGGGATCGAGTGCAGATAGAGCTGCAAATAATTCAGGGCTTTTCCCAAAATCCCGTAAATGTGAGAGTCAAGTCCCTTTTTCCATAGATGAGAGTGTTGAAGATTTTTCTATTGATCCTATGTGTACCAACTGTCCAAATCTGGCGCCGAAAGGGTGAGAATTCTTATATTTATGTAATCAACGTGTAATGCTGATCAAATTATATTAATGTCATTACTACTCATATCTCTGTTTAGAAGCATTTCATTTGATTGTTATTAATGGTTCTTTAAACTATATGAAAGTTGAGTATGACTCCTTGCTTGTGCAGATATGATGGTCGCGAAGAAGGTTTATGGCTACACTGTGTTCGGTATTCCGGGCCTGGCT